ATGGATGGCACTGACACCTTTAATAATTGCAGTGGGCTCCTCTTAAAGAATTTTTCTATCAAAAGGCGCCCATGCTTCTTCTGCGTCGTCGCATAACAATGTGTGGTAATTAGCACTTGGACACCTCTAAAGATAGCAGTGGGTTCCTCTTGTAGATTTTTTCTATCAAAAGGTACCATGAGTCTTGGCCGTCGTCCATGATTATTGTGCTGGTGCTTCTTCTGCGTCATTGCATAGCAATTTCTGCGTGGTCATTTTGAGATGCTTTCATAAAGTAAGTTGGATTTTCATACACAGTTTCAAAAGGTACCATGAGTCTTTGGTCGTCGTCCATGATTATTGTGCTCGTGCTTCTTCTGCGTAATTGCATAGCAATTTCTGCGTGGTCATTTTGAGATGCTTTCATAAAGTAGGTTGGATTTTCATACACAGTTTCAAAAGGTACCACGAGTCTTGGTCGTCGTCCATAGTTATTGTTGTAATTATACCAAACCTGAAATCCTTCTTCAGTTCGCGTCTGCACTTCAGATTGACCTGCAAAGCCTCGAGGTAGAACTCGAAGTAGACACTCTTATGTTTAAGTCAGCAATAATCGAGGTTACCTTTAGAGTGGAGATAAAAGGAGCTCAGGGTTGGTTTCAATTATTTTTTGATATGGCCCCTGGGGGGTATTTATAGGCTTTCGTGAGGTATCCACGTGGCTTGCTTAGCAGGATGATCGGAGTGTGACATGTCCCTTAAAGAGATAAATTCGGGACCGGGGGGTTGTGTGATAAATCAGGTATGGGCATGCCCACTGTATTTACTGTGCAGTCATTTGATCAGAAATGCTGGATTTAACTTCACTTCGGCTATTAAGGAATTGCTACAGTACGTCCGAGGTCCTTAACCTCAGACCTATCCTTACACTATTCCCCCCTCGAAGTCATTCACTTGTGAATGATTAGTGTGGAAGATGAGTGTAGATGGGGGTAGTCAATACAAAAATGTATGACATAAAGTCGTGTTTTTGGCTGCAGTCGAGGTAAAAATTCATGACATAGAGTCATGTGTTTTGGGTCATAACCAAGGAAAAAATGCATGACATGGAGTCATGTGTTATAGTCATAGCCGAAGTAAAATTGATGACTCAATCACTGTGGCCCGAGCCCAAGTAATATAAGTGACGTGTGGTCATTATGGCCGGAGCCGAAGCAAAATAGGTGACGCATAGTCACTATGGCAGGAGCCGAAGTAAAATAGGTGACTCGAGGTCACTATGGCCGGAGCTGAAGTAAAATATGTAACTCGAGACCACTATGGTCAGAGCTGAAGTAAAATATGTGATTTGGGGTCACTATGGCCGGAGCCGAAGTAGAACTAGTGACTCATGGTCACTATGGCTGGAGCCGAGGTAAATAAAGATGACCGGAGTCATAGCGGTTGAAGCCAAAGTAATAAGTAATGACCGGAGTCATGTGACCGAAACCGAGGTAATAAGTAATGACCGGAGTCATGTGGCCAGAGCTGAGGTAATAAGCAATGACCGGAGTCATAAGGGCCGGAGCCGAAGTAAAACATGTGACGCTGGGTCACTATGGCCGGAGCCGAAGTAAGGCATGTGACACTGGGTCACTGTGGGCCAGAGCTAAAGTAAAACATGTGACACTGGGTCACCATGGGCTGGAGCTGAAGTAAAACATGTGACTCGTGGTCACTATGGTCGTAGCCGAGGTAGATCTGGTGACTCTCTGTCATTATGGTTGGATCCAAGGTAAATAATGATGACTAGAGTCATAGCAGCCAGAGCTGAAGTAATAAGTAATGACCGGAGTCATGTGGCCGGAGCTAAAATAAAATGTGACTTGGGGTCACTACGGCTGTCGCCGAAGTAAAGATGCATGACCCATGGTCAGGTGTTATGGTTGTAGCTGAGAATGATGATCTGAAAATGACGACTCGAAAGTGATGATTTGCAACCTCATAAGCCATAATAATGGAAGTCAGACTTCTGAGAGTCGTGCTTTATAGAGCTAGGATCAAAACCAGTTTTTATAGAGTTGATTGAATGCCAATTTTGGTAGCTGGAGATGCCTACCATAGAATCCCACCTTGAGATGCCCATAAGAAAATCTTGGTCTCTCGAGTCATAGCATAAAATCAAACCCCTTTGAGGGCTGTGCTTTGCAGAGTTAAGATTGAACTGAACTTTCATAGAACAAATGAGCTAAGAAGCTGATAGTTAATGGACGCAAGCTCTTGTAGATCGAATGGGCTAAAAAAGCCAATAGCTAATGGGCTAAATGGCCAATAGTATTTTCTGATGAACTGATAAGTTTAAAAGCTGATAACATATTTCCGAGTCTTCCAAGCCAAGGAGTTAACAAACTCTTGAGACCTATAAAAATTCAGTCTAAATATAGAACTTGACAAGATGCCATTAGTT